CATCTTCTCATTTATCTTTGACATTTCTGCTTCTAAGGGATCGATCCTTATAAAACCCAACACATATGAAGCCCAATAGACTCACTAAAAATCCTTTTTTCTTCGTTATACAAACACGATCATCGTTAAAATAAGCAAAAATGGGAGTCATTTCTCCTCATAGAATACAACTATCATTATTTCCCATTGTTGTGTTGCTTTCTCTTGCATGGTCAGCTTCAGCTGCAAATTCAGCTCACAACACTTTTGTTCATTGCCTTGTAAACCATTCAGAGCCCTCTCACCCCATAACTTCAGCAATTTTCACACCAACCAATACCTCATTCTCTTCAGTCTTGCAAGCCTACATCAGAAACCTTCGTTTCAACACCTCCACAACCCGGAAACCATTCCTTATAATCACTGCATTGCATGTATCTCATGTACAAGCAGCCATTATTTGTGCTCAAAAGCACAATTTGCAAATGAAAATCCGTAGTGGAGGCCATGATTACGAGGGTGTGTCTTACGTGGCTGAGGTCCCATTCTTCATCCTTGACATGTTCAATCTCCGATCCATTGAGGTTGACATAGACACTGAAACCGCTTGGGTACAAGCTGGTGCAACTCTTGGTGAAGTTTATTATAGAATTGCTGAGAAGAGTAAAACTCATGGTTTCCCAGCAGGGGTTTGTCCCACTGTTGGGGTAGGAGGCCATATAAGTGGCGGTGGCTATGGCAATATGATGAGAAAGTACGGTCTCTCAGTGGATAATGTTATTGATGCACAAATGGTTGATGTTCAAGGTAGATTCCTTGATAGAAAATCAATGGGTGAAGATCTCTTTTGGGCCATTAGAGGGGGTGGAGGAGCTAGCTTTGGTGTGGTCCTTGCCTACAAAATAAAGCTAGTTCAAGTTCCTGAAACAGTCACTGTTTTCCAAGTTCGGAGAACCCTTGAGCAAAATGCCACTGATATAGTTTATAACTGGCAGCATGTTGCACCAACCATCAACAACGACCTTTTCATTAGACTTATCATTGACGTGGTAAACGGTACACAAAATGGAACAAAGACTGTAAGAGCTACCTTCATAGCTCTCTTCCTTGGTGACTCCAAAACCCTTGTTTCTCTCTTGAATGAGAAGTTCCCTCAATTGGGTTTGAAACAATCTGACTGCATCGAAACGAGTTGGCTTCGTTCGGTGCTGTTTTGGACAAACATCAACATTACAGAACCAGTTGAGATTTTGCTGGATAGACAACCACAATCACTGAACTACTTGAAAAGGAAATCTGACTATGTAAAGAATCCAATTACCAAAGAGAGTTTGGAAGGGATTTGGAAGAAGATGATTGAGTTGGTGGATACAATACTATATTTCAATCCCTATGGTGGAAGAATGGCTGAGATTCCATCAACAGCAACTCCTTTCCCTCATCGAGCTGGGAACCTATGGAAGGTCCAATACCAAGCAGAAAGAGGTAGCAGATCACTACATAAACTTGACAAGAATACTTCACAAGTACATGACTCCTTTTGTCTCCAAGAACCCTAGAGAGGCTTTCTTCAACTATAAGGATCTTGACTTGGGAATTAACCACAATGGTAAGAACAGCTACGCTGAAGGGAGAGTTTACGGAGTAGAGTATTTCAAGGATAACTTCAACAGGTTGGTTCAAATAAAGACCAAGGTTGATCCTGATAATTTCTTTAGGAACGAACAAAGCATCCCTACGTTGCCAAATCGTAAGAATTAGAATATAATGGTCCAGTGACTCAGATTATTAATTTAATTTCTGTAATTTGTTGGCTAATTAGTTTGTCGGTATTTTTTTTTATTGTGGAAATAAATGACCTGGTGTTCAAAACCAGGAATAATGCAAGTTCAATAGCCAACGAGCTCCATGAATGTATAAAAATAAGCTCGGCGGCGCGCTAATTTGTTTGGTTTGCTGTTAAATGAAATAAACTGCTATTTTGATGTTTCACATGTCTAATTCAGTTTGATTATGCATATTATATTAATCTATTAATTTATTAATAGGTGTTGTAAGATTTGTTAGGTATTTATATATTTTTATTTTTAAAATTTTAAAATTATTTTTTCTATAAATTTTTTTAATTTTTTTTAATTTTTTTAATATTTTCTAAATGAATGAATTGTAGCATTTTTTGATTGAGATATGATTATAGTGTTCAATCAATTCAAGACTATATAAATTGCGATAAAATTTAAATTTCTGATTTATTTTTATCATACGAATTCTCTTGTCTTCTTCTTTATTTTATATTTAATTTTTGTTTTTCATAATTATGAATTTCATTTTAATTAGATCTATAACTAAAATTAAAATTTATTTTTGGACCTAGATTTAGATATAGATACATAATAATTTAATTGTTTAAATCAATCATTTACCATTTTTAAATTCCACGAATATTGTGAGATTATGATTGTATTTTATATTTTTTTGACATTCAATAAATTTATATTTTAATTATGCTCATGTTGACTTAAGATTAATTACATTCATATTATATTTTGAATTGTAAAAAAATTTTCTCTAAAGATTAAAATCTTAAATTGATGCAATTTTTAATTGAGACCTTGAATTAATTTTTTATTTTTGTTCTTAATATAGAATTAATGTTCGCTATTTCATAAAATGTCTTTCTTAATAATTATGTGATAAATTTATATTTAATAGAGTTATGTATTTGAAAAGAATGATCAAGATTATTAAAAAATTAATAATTTTTTTATAGTCATTCAACAATACTATCAATAATTGCCTGAAAAGTCAATATTATGTTTCCACAAATATCGACTTGTGGGTATTATATTCTTTTGGAGAAATAAAATACTATCAACAATACTATCAACAATACTATCAATAATGACCTGGGGTGGGGGCTACTGTTATGAAGAAATAAAATGAGTTTATAAAATTTCAACCCAACTTCATCACACGCAAATCGACTTCATCACACAGGCAAATCAACTTTATCACATGGAAACTGATTTTATCACGCTTAGGCGTAACTACTTATGCATGACATTAATTGTACGTCCTATGACAAATTATACACATACCTCTCAGTAAAGAATATAAATAGGTTTTATAATGTTAGGATGAGTTCTAGGCCCAAAAGAAAATTAAATGAGACTTTATAGAATGTCTTAGGATAATTATTATTATTGTATTTAATTTTAATATTATTTTATTTTCTTGAAATAGGATGATAATACATTAATACTTGTCGGATTTCTTTTAGCTATTAGGTTACAAAATTTGTATCCTCTAACATTTGAAGTTTGAATATAAATGCTAATTTTATGTTCTTCATAGCTTCTTATAGCTCTTCAATATTAATGGTATAAATATATGAGTAGTAATAGAGTAAATATTTTCTTCTTATCATTTAACTTCATAAATATGGACAAATTCTCTTTTTACTCTATTAGATTGTTTAGGTGAGTTTGATTCCAAAATACGTTTTCTATTTTTATTTTTTGAAAATAATTCTTTTTTCTTTCTTTCATATTTTGAAAATTTGAAAACACGTTTAGTTTGACTTCTCATTTTTTAATTTTAGAAAATGAAAATATTGAAAATGTGACTGGTTTATGATCAATTTTCAATAAAAGTTCATAAAATATATTTTTTTTAAAATTTATACAAACAAATTTTAAATAAATAATTATAATATATTTTCTTGGATTAAAAAATAATATATTTCCTTAATAATTAGAAATAATTCAAGAACACCAATATCACAAGTAAAATTTGTATATTTTATTTAACTTTATGTGATTATTTTTTTATAAAAAAAAATTAAAACCGTCCGTGCATAACTAAATTTTAGATTCATTTTAATTTAACCTATTTATCAAATATTTGGGCTAGTCAAACTATCAATATTATGTCGAATTGGAATTAGTAGAAATTAAAAAAAGAGATATCTATAGATTTAGTATTTTGCACACTACACCTATAAATGAAAAAAAAAAAAAAAAAACTAATGATGTGAAAGCAAGTTACCAACCAAAAAAACTTCCATGCAAATAATCTTCACAGTATACATTAAAAAAAATTAAAAAAAAGCATAAACAATTGAGAAAAACAAAAAACACGTAAACCAATCGGGTCCTTGGTAATGAGTAGTAATAGGGTAATAGGTGAACACCAGCAGCATCCGCTACGAGCCTTGGCTCGTGATGCTGCTGGAACCACGTCCTTGCTCCACGCCATTCATATATGATTTCATATATGAAACGCCACTGCACTCATTTTGTTTTTACGCAAAACACCCTCACAAATCATCCAAATCATATCACATCACATATACCAAGAGATGATTCAGATCTTCACACGCACTAGCTCACTTCAATCACTCCAATTCAAGGAAACGCACTACAAATTGCACCGCTTCTGTCACAATTACTACCTTTAATTGCAATCCTGCCGCAACATTGTTCCAAATAGATCAGATTTCGAAATGTAGATTGCACCGCTAGATTTATCCAACTAAACACCGGATCTGGATCAACGTTTGATATTGACGCTGATGTCACTAATTAGATAATACAAACTATCACCACACTCCAAACTGATTAATTGTCTTTGTCTAATATTAGATCACGGGGAATCAAAACAAAATTGCACCGACAATTGAATTGGCATGTGGCTTCCAATTCAATTTGTACTGCCAGCAATATGATTTCGTGCCAGAACTAATTAAAATCACTGAATCTCCTAATTGAAATGCGCAATTTCAATTTAAAATCAACATTTCACAGTTGATTGAATCACCATTTCACATTTGCAATCGCTTGAAGCACCAAAAATTAGATCTAACAAAGATCTTAACGCCACTTCAATAAAAGACACTCGCAAATCACTTTGATCCAAAACAAAATTAATGCCAAAGTGTGACGTCTTTGATCTTGTACGGGATATTTCAGAAACAAATAAAAAAGGCACAATCATATTTTGCAAGGTCAAAGAATGATTGAGTTGCGTTATCTATTTTTTTTCTCTGTAATTTTTTTGGTCAATTTGAGAGGTAACCATCTTCTCATTTATTTTGACATTTCTGCCTCAAGAGTTGAAAACCCAACACATATATATCAAGCTCAATAGCTCACTGAAAATCCTATTTTCTTTGTTATACTATCACGATCATTAAAATAAACAAAAATGGGAGTCATTTCTCCTCATAGAATACAACTATCATTATTTCCCATTGTCGTGTTGCTTTTTCTTGCATGGCCAGCTTCAGCTGCAAATTCAGCTCACAACACTTTTGTTCATTGCCTCGTGAGCCATTCAGAGTCCTCTCACCCTATAACTTCAGCAATTTTCACACCAAGCAACACCTCATTCTCTTCAGTCTTGCAAGCCTACATTAGAAACCTTCGTTTCAACACCTCCACAACCCGGAAACCATTCCTCATAGTCACTGCATTTCATGTTTCCCATGTGCAAGCAGCCATTGTTTGTGGTAAAAAGCACAACTTGATGATGAAAATCCGTAGTGGAGGCCATGACTACGAAGGGGTGTCATATGTGGCTTCACAGCCATTCTTCCTCCTTGACATGTTCAATCTCCGATCCATTAAGGTTGACATGGACACTGAGACCGCTTGGGTACAAACTGGTGCCACGCTTGGTGAAGTTTACTACAGAATTGCTGAGAAGAGTAAAACTCATGGTTTCCCAGCAGGGGTTTGTCCCACTGTTGGGGTAGGAGGCCACATAAGTGGTGGTGGCTATGGCAATATGATGAGAAAGTATGGTCTCTCAGTGGATAATGTTATCGATGCACAAATAGTTGATGTTCAAGGTAGATTGCTTGATAGAAAATCAATGGGTGAAGATCTCTTTTGGGCCATTAGAGGTGGTGCTGGAGCTAGCTTTGGTGTGGTCCTTGCCTACAAATTAAAGCTAGTTCGAGTTCCTGAAACAGTCACTGTTTTCCAAGTTCAAAGGACTCTTGAGCAAAATGCCACCGATATAGTTTATAATTGGCAGCATGTTGCACCAGCCATCAACAACGACCTTTTTATTAGACTTATCATGGACGTGGTAAACGGTACACAAAATGGAACAAAGACTGTAAGAGCTACCTTCATAGCTCTCTTCCTTGGTGACTCCAAAACCCTTGTTTCTCTCTTGAATGAGAAGTTCCCTCAATTGGGTTTGATGCAATCTGACTGCATCGAAACGAGTTGGCTTCGTTCGGTGCTGTTTTGGACAAACATCAACATTACAGAACCTGTTGAGATTTTGCTTGATAGAAAACCACAATCACTGAACTACTTGAAAAGGAAATCTGACTATGTAAAGAAGCCAATTTCCAAAGAGGGTTTGGAAGGGATTTGGAAGAAGATGATTGAGTTGGTGGATACAATACTGTATTTCAATCCCTATGGTGGAAGAATGGCTGAGATTCCATCAACAGCAATTGCTTTCCCTCATCGAGCTGGGAACCTATGGAAGGTCCAGTATCAAGCAAATTGGAAGCAGTGAAAGAGGTAGCAGATCACTACATAAACTTGACAAGAATACTTCACAAGCACATGACTCCTTTTGTCTCCAAGAACCCCAGAGTGGCTTTCTTCAATTATAAGGACCTTGACTTGGGAATTAATTACCACAATGGTAAGAACAGCTACGCTGAAGGGAGAGTTTATGGAGTGGAGTATTTCAAGGATAACTTCTACAGGTTGGCTCAAATAAAGTCCAAGGTTGATCCTGATAATTTCTTTAGGAACGAACAAAGCATCCCGAAGCTGCCATATGGAAGAGTTAGAATAATGGTGACTCAGATTATTAATTTAATTTCTGTATTTTGTTGGATACATTGTCGGTAATAAATTTGATTGTGGAGAAATAAATAACATGGTATTTATAACCAGTTGTACGATGTAAGTTCAATGACAAACGAGCCTCTTGCATGCAAAACAAGTAGCTCGGCGATACGTAGTTTGCTTCGTATATATGCTATTCAATGAATAACCTCCTATTTTCCGTATGTCCTTACCAAATTTATAATCCTTCAGATTTCGAATATAAAAAACAAAAATTTCGTATTTTGTTAGCCTCAAATATAAATTAATCTTAATTAATTTTATTCTATTTAATTTGTTATTCTTAAATTAATTGTCTTTTCAAACAGTCTTATCCCCAAAAAAAGTTTCTAAAAAAAACTCTTAACATTATGCTCCTTTTCAGGGACATTTTGCTTGTAACATTGCTTACGTGTTATTTCAATAATTAATTTTTTAAATAGTTTATTTTAAATATTATTTTTATTTTTATTTATTTTAGCTGAAAAGGCCAAAATAAAACGTGTAATGGAAATTGAAGATTCAACCATATTTAGCTAAAGCATCCATAGCCTACTTCACTTCTCCCAAAACATGGGTCGAAAGCACCTTACCTATTGATCCCCTATATTGGTGAATATTGTTATATATTGTTGTGAAGTAAAGATTAGGTTTCCCGTGACTGTGTGTCAGTTCCAGCTATGGCGATGATAACTTTTGGTAGTGACACCTGGAAGAACTTTGATGCTTAAATATTAGTATATAATGCAAAAATAACAGTGAATTCGTACCTTAATATATATTGGAATAATATAGGAGAGAAAATTTATTATGTTAACTGTGTCACACAGTCATTGTGATTATCGATTTATGCGTAAGATACAAGATGCGATATATATATTTTTATATATATATATATATATATATAATTCTAGTCTGATTTCATCTCAGACTTGTTTCAAGTAAAATTGAGCTAATTATATCTTAAAAAAATTAGATCGGTCATAAGTTGAACCAACTTCTAAAAAAAATACACAAATGGCATTATCCAAATTAAAAGAGGGGCGTATGACAACAATCATTGACTCCAACATTTTTAGCTTATATACCGCAACCAAAAACAAAAGTGCGAAAAAAGAACCCCATAAGTCAGTTGCTACAAAATTGAACAAGTCCCCAATTTAGTTGCAATGCCAAAGAGGAAAAAACCATTTTGGTCCCTCAAAACTCCAGAACATGCTGCCTTGGTCCCTGCATGCATGGCTGCATCAATCACAGACCTATCACAATTGAATTCAATGACAAAGGAGGCTTCCCACTAATAGAATGACGCCCACGGTCCACCATCAACTGAGCCCAAATCTGGAGCACATACTAGGCTATTGGAACCCAATGCAATATCTCAGGCCATATTCCTTTTAACCATGTCCTTCATGGACCCAAAAATCCCATTGAAAGCTGCATGATTTCCACAACACCTGTAACCACAAATACATCATGTTACATGGAATTTTGTTTTTATAACTATATACTGTTACAAATTTTTTACCGATTTTGTTAATGATTAATTTTAATCAGGAATATAACTTTTAGTAGAATTTTTTCTTTCAATCACATTGTTGTTATTCACAAAATTTAAGTCTAAAACTTTGTTAAAGAAGATGGAATCTAGTACTACTCGAATCAATAACTTAATGATATGGCAGTTTTATTTGAAATAATGATAAAAAGAAAAAATTCTATCCCCAACTGGTGATGGGCGAAACAGGAGACGCAAAAACGTTGAAACAAACAAGCAATAAAAAGGTGAAATGAAAGATAAACTAATAATAATATGATTTTATATCTCGATGAAACATAACAGTTTTCCTTGTACATTTAATTTTTTTAGATATTTATGAGAAAAACTTCGTTTTAAAAATTTATAACACTATTTGTAATTGTATATATATCTCAAGGAAAAACAATTTAAAGGTGGAGATAAATTTCATAAACCTTGTGATTTTAGTGTGAAGCTAGCGAAGTAATCAAATATTAATAGTGGTTCTCAGTGTTTCCCATGTTGTGAAGTGTGTCTAAGTCGTGGCCACACACATGAACGTGCGTAGCAGAAGCCCGTATCAGCACATGCATGTTGTTGTACGGTGATGAACTATTGAACTGATGCATTTTGCACAAGGACAATTGACAATTGTCAATAACCTTTTTCCTTTTCCTGGGTGAACCTTTTTGAGTTATTATTTATTTTTATATTTCTGCTGGGGTCCAGATAATAATTGGAACAACCAAAAACTATTAGGACCACAAGCGTTGTGCTATGAACTAATGCGTAATATACATGAATCCACCATAAACCTAACGAAACGATGAAGGTCATATGCATGTTTGAGGAATCTGTTTTGAATGTTTAATGGAGGTTTGAGTTCTAAAGCATCAAATGTAGAAGGAAGAAAATGTGTTATTGATGTTGAATGGTCATTTGCTTCGTTCTAATGGTTAACTAATACATTCAAATTAATTCATTTTTTTTCTTCACTTTGTTATAAGTGTAAAATTCAGTTTTGTCATTATTTCTACCAAAAATTTTCGTTAGCCATTGATTTGGATTTTCAAATATAATTAATATACGTATATGTTTTTTTTTTTATAAAAATTATGAGTTCCAATCTAAAAATCCATTTTATTCCTCAGAAAAATAAAAGAAAAAATCCCTGATTTCAAAATCAAATTCATTATAAATTAATTTTAAAAGTAAAGTTTAGACAACCGAGGTTCTTTATTTTGTTGCTAGCAATCATTAATTTTGTGCTTGCTAATTTTAATATTCTAACTTGCAAAGGTTGAATGGTTGAGATTTTGAACAACATATACCAATTCAAAAGAAATGCATCAGAAAGTCCTCTTAGAAGAAGTTGACATGAAGGATTTGATAGTATGCTATTAACCTATTCAAAGCTGAATGATATAATAGAAAGCATATATCTATCTAATATTTGATGTCCTAGAAAATAATATTTAAAAATGATGGAAATCATACTATTTTATCCTTCTTTAATTATTAGAGAGAAAAGTACTTTATAATATGATAGATAGTTGTTACTCCCATGTTGTTAAGGTGGGTTATTAAATGTAATTTAGGAAAAATACTATTAGATAATTGTAGAGTAGTAATTAGACTATCTAAACAAACCATATCTTTAAGGGACCATCCTTAACAATGCCCTTTGGATTGTTTATACTTATTAAGAATATAATTTTTGTGAAAAGAAATTAGTGCATGTAAATTAAGTGGTGAATGTGATTTTTTTATGACTGCCCATTTCACATTTTGTTCCCTATCTAATTTGACTGTGAAATTTGGCAACTCCATTTATTTCTACTATTTAATGATATCTTCTTAATACACAACAAAATTATAAATTAAATTTTATCTACTTAAATTATAAAATTTAATCTGTCACGTGAAAAATTGTTTATATTTAATACTTTTATATTTGATAATATATATGACTTTAAATAATATTTATTTCATAACATAAATAAATACATTGATTCTACTAATAATAACTGTCTTTGAAATTAATTATATAATATTTAATTTATTATAAAACATGTAAAAACAGTCTAATAATCCGTGCGATGGCACATGTTTTGTACTAGTTGCCGGATAAAACAAAAGAAAAAATCCCTGATTTAAAAATCAAATTCATTATAAAATTAATTTTGACAGTAAAGTTTACTGTGTATCTGGAACAGCGTCAAAACGTGATTTTTCACGTTTGACTGGAAGGAGAAAATAATAACTTCTCCTTAAATTGCTACTTCGACGTGGAGAGAGACAAAAAAATTGAGTTTCAAAATTGAAACCAAGCACACACTTACACAACCGACGTCCTTGAGCAAATTAATCACGTTTAAGTTTTGCGGCCACAAACGTAGTTGTTGGATAAAACAAAATAGTTGAGTTTACGAGAAGATTCGCGGATCCACTTATTGCTTATATGCTGTTACATTTTTGTCGAGGATAAGTGGACCAAATTATTTTATAAGGAAATTTTATCGGTTCCAATTCTTATAGGACCATGCGAGATAAGTGAAACTGGTAAGAAGGTAGCTCAGTTTGAAAACCTTTTAGCCAACAAGAGCTTGCAACATATATACTTGTGTTGTGCCCCCATAAAGTGCTCAATACCACCCCCAAAAAAGGAAGGAAAAAAAAGAAGAACAAACTAAAAATGCAACCACTCCTTTCTTCTAGAATACTGCTTCCAATTCTGGTGCTGCTTTCTCTTCTTTGCACATCTTGTGCTACAAATTCACCAGACAACACTTTTGTTCACTGCCTTGTGAACCATTCTGAGCCCTCTCACCCCATATCTGCAGCAATTTTCACACCAAAGAGTCCCTCATTCTCTTCAGTCTTGCAAGCCTACATCAGAAACCTCCGTTTCAACACCTCCACAACGCGGAAGCCATTCCTCATAGTCACTGCACTTCATGTTTCTCATGTGCAAGCAGCCATTGTCTGCGGCAAAGAGCACAACTTGCTGATGAAAATCCGCAGTGGAGGCCATGACTACGAAGGGGTGTCTTACGTGGCTGAACACCCATTCTTCCTCCTTGACATGTTCAATCTTCGATCCATTGAGGTTGACATGGATACTGAGACCGCTTGGATCCAAACTGGTGCAACACTTGGTGAAGTTTATTATAGAATTGCTGAGAAGAGTAAAACTCATGGTTTCCCAGCTGGGGTTTGTCCCAATGTTGGTGTGGGAGGTCATATAAGTGGTGGTGGCTATGGCAATCTCATGAGAAAATATGGCACTTCAGTGGACAATGTTATCGATGCACAAATAGTGGATGCTCAAGGTAGGGTTCTTAATAGAAAAACTATGGGTGAAGATCTCTTTTGGGCCATTAAAGGTGGTGGTGGAGGTAGCTTTGGTGTTGTCCTTGCCTACAAGATAAACCTAGTTCATGTTCCTGAAACAGTCACCGTTTTCCAAGTTGAGAGAACCCTAGAGCAAAATGCCTCTGACATAGTTTACAATTGGCAGCATGTTGCCCCAAGCATTGACAATGATCTTTTCATTAGGCTCATTTTGGAGGTGGTGAATGGTACACAAGTTGCAACAAAGACAGTGAGGGCTACCTTCATAGCCCTCTTCCTTGGTGACTCCAAAAGCCTTGTTTCTCTCATGAGTGAGAGGTTTCCTCAATTGGGTTTGAAGCAATCCGATTGCATAGAAACAACCTGGCTTCGATCTGTGTTTTTTTGGGACTACATGGACATTGCAACCCCACTTGAGGTTTTGCTTGAGAGACACCCTCAGTCTTTGAAGTACTTGAAAAGGAAATCTGACTATGTGAGGAAGCCAATTTCCAAGGAGGGTTGGGAGGGGATTTGGAAGAAGATGATTGAGTTGGAGAAAGCATCAATGTATTTCAACCCTTATGGTGGAAGAATGGCTGAGATTTCATCAGCAGAAACTGCTTTCCCTCATAGAGGTGGGAACCTATGGAAGATTCAGTACAAAGCAGATTGGTATGAGGCAGGAGAAGAGGTAGCAGAAAACTACATAAACTCGGTAAGAGAGCTTCATAAGTACATGACTCCTTTTGTCTCCCAGAACCCAAGACAAGCTTTCATGTGTTACAAGGACTTGGATTTAGGCATCAACCACCATGGTTTTTATGGCTATTTTGAAGGGAGTGCTTATGGATATCAATACTTCCACGACAACTTCAAAAGGTTGGTTGAAATAAAGACCAAGGTTGATCCTACCAATTTCTTCAGGACTGAGCAAAGCATCCCAGTACTTAGCCATGTGGAATTGGGTAGAATGGTTACTGAAAAATCCTTGGTTTCTATCTTGTTCGGGTTGTTCGCATTAAATTGGATTCGGACCTCAAGTAATTAAAATGTACTAGATTTCGTCTTTAATTTGTAATTATTTCTTTTTATCTTATGACACGATGTCATGGTGTTAAAAAAAACTTGGATCCATTGAATTCTTAATAAATTGGGTTCTGAAAAGAAAACTTGATATTTAGAGTTAATTTTCATGTTTTAACTTTATAATTAATTAATTTGGTTATTTCATTATTTGCTGAAGAAATTAAGTGACCTAATTTATTGATTTTCTTTTCATCATGAATAACGTCAATAGTTAACTAGTTATTATTGTCATCTAATTAATTCACACAAATGTAGGGTTTGTAGAGTTAATTCCCTGCATAACAATTATCATGTTTGTACTTTGTACGTGGCAATTAAGAGAATTAACTACTCATATTTTGAGTGATAATTAGTATAGGCAATGAAAGCATAAAACTTGAGTAGTCACGCACTATCTATTTTTAGATTTGTATTTTTATTTAGAATTAGAATATTACTTCAATAGTTCAATATAATCTGTAATAAAATTGACATTAGAAGCTGACACTCATTACAAGAAAAGAAATATTATAAAAATTATGAAAGGGAAATTTTAATTTCAATTAAAAAGTTTCATAAATTGCAAGTAAAAATGCAGTGCTCGAGTTATATGCTGCTGTACCCAAGTGACCACAGACAAGTGTATGGATATGCACTCAGCACTCTACTCTGAAATCTTTCAGTTTTTGGCTTTCAGTTTCACGTGCAATGGGTACTATCCCCAATATGTCTATGGCATGAGACAACTGAAAACATTATAATTATCCGTACCTTCAAAACTTTAAAAAACAAATATCCATACCGAATCTAGACATAAAGAAGAAATGTATTAACTATAGTTAAATTTTATTATATATATATATATTTCAAATTTGGATTCAATTATCATTCCAATTCCAAAGGAAGAAGCAGTAGTTCTATAACAAATCACGCACTGTGCATTTGCATTTTACAGCAGTAATGTTTATCACGCGTTTTATGACGCATTAATTCTAGGTGAGCCACATCCTGTATGAGTTCATCGAGTTTTGGAATTAATTAAGAGGGATTGATGTGGCTAGCACAAAATACAAATCGTGTGTAAATTTAATAAATATAAACAACAAGAAGTAAGATAAGTGAGACTGATTAACTTCAATCCATATATTTGCTCTGAACTTTGTGGTTGTCGTTAAGCCATTGTTGTCAAAACCTTTTCCACATATAATTTGACTTATACCTTAGCCTAATCATATCCTATATGTTAACTCGATGGTTTAGTACAGTAGTTAGATGCCCAACTTTTTGTGGAGACAATCTATATTAATTCTACATTTTTATTGTAAATAAGAGACAATTATAGTAACGTGAGAGAGACTAATCTCTAATCAGTGAGTTATTTGTAATAGAAGAGAAAATGTTGTAGGTAAAAAAAAATTATCTTAAAAGTAGGCGGGAAGAAAGGAGAAAAGTTAGAGATTAACTGACCACCAATAATTATGTATAGCCAAGACAACATATCATCACTTAGACCCACCAAACACAAAGGATTCCCATTTCAAAATTCAAATCATTGCATGAAATCTTAACTTCAAAAAGAAAAAAAGAAAAAAGAAAAAAAGACTATCATATACATATTTTAAATGAAAAAAATATATAACATGCATAATTTTTTTTGAACCATCCAATCTTGACTGTAAGTGCAGAAGTTATTTTGAACGGCAGGAATCCGGTAAAACCATAAAAGTTTAACACAATTGGCGTCAATCAAGTCCTATAAAAGTTGAAACACAAAATGAATTTGTTCATAACCGTAGTTATCAATATTAGACCAATAAATTTCATAAAAAAATAACTCAATTTCTTAATGAATTTCATAAAAAAAAACGCATCAATTTATATCGGACACATCATGTCTGACGTAAATTTACATCGGATATAGCATTGTCTGACGTAAATTTACGTCAGACATGGTGTGTCCGACGTAAATTTACATCGGATATAGCATTGTCTGACGTAAATTTACGTCAGACAATGCTATATCCGATGTAAATTTACGTCAGACAATGCTATATCCGATGTAAATTTACGTCAGACAATGCTATATCCGATGTAAATTTACGTCAGACATGGTGTGTCCGACGTAAATTTACATCGTCTGTGACAGATAACGTAAATTTACGTCTCCCACACCCACATTAACGTCAGACCCTTTTTCAACCCACATTAACGTCAGACCCTTTTTCAACGTAAAAACCTTAAAATAGTCAACGTAAAATATTTCTTTTGAACTAGTAGTTGTTGAAAATAAGTTCCAATCTGGTGTGGGTAGGTGTATTACATACTTTTATAATGGGATGAATCAAATGCAATTCATTGTGCACCGTGGACCACATGTAAAGCTTGTCCAGCATAGTCTCTATCTCCGCTGAAAGGACATTTCAAAAGAGGAGATTGAAAAATGATCATGGGACGACACAGTAGATGAAGTTAAGAAATAAGTCCAACCTTTCGAACATTTAAAGATGTGCATTCTCCATGAACAATCATTTTGGTGGTTTACCGGTACACTTTTAATAATATTTTGTGTTTTACGAAAAATGATTCACTAGTTAACTATTTGATTGAATATCATTACATTGACAAAAATTTAAATGAATAACAAGATTCAACAATTTTTATTTAATATTCAAATTAATTTATTAAATCAAATATTTATTTTAACCTTAATTCAAAACACCACTATTTAGATTGCAGTTTCTGTAAAAATTATCATTCATGTTCCATAATCATCCATTAAAGATTTAGATGAAAAAAAAATATTTTAGACTAATTAATTTTGTTTTGTTACAATCTTGTTTTGTGGATTTGAAATCTTTTTCCTTGACAGTGATGGAGATTAAGATTTTGGTAAAAAATAGTGACACAGAGAGATTATACATACTAATGGAGATGAGTACCTAGGTGTTAGCTGCCGTAGAGAAAAAGAAAAAGAAAATGTAATTTGAGAATAATAATGAAAACAAAGAAGTGAAGACAACATAAAAGTATAAACGTGGTTATCATTTTTTATTTTTTTAAAACTAAAAATTAAATATATTTTTTTATGGTTCACGTGTGAAATACTTGAAACAGTTCGTGGCGGTTAAAAAACATCTTTAAAGATAATTCAAAGACTAGTTGAATTAAGTCACATATTCTTACCAATTTGAAAAGGAGATTTTGATTCAACAGAAAAGAACTCATAATCAAACATGATGCTAATAGAGTCTAACATTTAAAATTTTATTTGTTGTTGAAGACGCTTTTGAGTTATATTTCCACTGTGGGAAAGTAATTTTCCATCGTATATTTCTAATTCTTGAACAGGGGTTTGAGATTTTTCTCTTACTTTTTTTAATTTGTCTCTCCCAATTTGCCCCTTCGGTATGCCCTTTTTTCTCCCCCTCCAAAGTCAAAATCGTCAAACTTTTGGTATAGCACAACGTTTCTTCTCTTGAACCAAAGGCTCTCCCTTTTCTTTCTCTCTTTTATTCCTTTTTCTCTATTCTCCCTTCTCCTTCGAATCTTCACATTCCATAGTCTAAACTCAAATATCAGCATTACGCACACATGCTCCAAACAATATTAGAAAAATCCAACGAACAAACAATCAAGTTTTAGAAGAAATATGTGAGCCTAACCATTTTTTTTGTTGAATCCATCACCTTTTTTTAATCCATCACTTTTAGATTAAAAAAAATGTTCAAGTATACTAAAAAAATTAAATAATCTCTCTTTTTTATATACTTCTTTTTACTAAGAATATTTATATCATATTAATTAATTAATTAATTATATATATCATTTTTTTTACTATGTAACTTTCAAAAAAGTATCTTATATTCTTTTTTCTTTCTTTCATTTTTCCTTTTCCATCCTTATTACCTTTTCCTTTTTCTAAAGGAATGTAAAAGAAAAAAAAAAAGGCTACTTTCTAAATATTAATTAGGATATTTTCTAGAACATGGAGACAAAAGAAGATACGATGGATCACTTATAATCATACTATTTTTTTTAATACGTCACTTTTAGATAGGTCAGATCAGTGATCGATTTTAGACAAGTTTGGACTCGAATTTTCAAAACCAATCAAAATTCAATCTTCTTCATTCACAATAAAAGCTCCACCAACGGAGCAAAAGTAGTAGAGGGAAAGGAGGGGAGGGGCAGAGTGACACGGAGTAGCGGAAAAAGGAGGGGTAGAGCGAAGCCATCTGATGCTCCTTTGCAAAATCAAAGAAGAGTAGAAGAGGATATGAATGACGTCACAGGAATGAAATCAGAGGAGGGAAGGACAGTGGAATGGTTGGTTTCAGGTATCAATCATTAAATAATCCCAAACTCCAAGCGTGTGGTTCAGCGAGAGTTGATCCACGCTTAAGTAAGTATCCCACCTTTTGAGGTGTATCTCTCATAACGAGGAGATTAGTTATGCTATCGGTGGTGGATACTCAAGAGACGAACAAAAAAAATAATTAAATAATACTTATTTTTTTAAAAAAAATTTTCTTAAGAAATATTTATATCATTATATATAATTTTTTATTATATACCTTACAAAAATATCTTATACTCTATTTCTTTCCTTTTTCTTTTCCTATAATAATCCTTTCTTTTCTTCAAAGAATGTGAAAGAAAGATAAAAGAGTTTATTTTTAATATGTCATTGATGTTGTTCTTTAATTAAAATTAAAATTTTATTTTAATATTATGTATTTATATTTAATATAAGTTTTATTAATACACATTTATGTATTTATGTATGTTTGTGCTGATTAGAAATGAACACTAATCACATCTTAAAGAATTTTATCTAAATTTGTGCCCTTGTGTAAATCCCAGATAGAATTATAGACTCAAATCGCAGATAGAATTAGAGACCCGCAAACATCAAATAATGCTTAGAAAAAATCATATAATAGGCTCGTTTTAAATTCAACAATTGGCATCAAACAAGTGGTAGCAAAGTTGAAACACAAAACGACAGGACTTGCCCACCCCGTATCATTGCCTCATTGGGTTTGATTGGAAATGGAAGGATTTTCGATTTTGATGGTTAAAAAATCTTCACTACCTTGACGGTGTGTTTGGTAGAGAAAAATAAATTAAAAAAAAATAGATTAAAAATAATATTATGTATATTTAGAAAGATAAAAAAATAGGTGAAAAATAAAATATATAAAAAAAATAAAAATAAATAAATAATAGAATAAAAGAGTAAAAAAATATTTTTTATTTTAATCATTTAAATAAAAATATAAATAAATAAATAATATTTTGAAATAAAATAAATAACTAATTAAAAGTAAGTAAATAATTTTAGAATAATATTTTTAGATTAAAACTTAATTAAAAGCCTATATTTTTAGTTCCTAACATTTATTTTAAGATTATAAATAATTTTTGTTATAAGAATTTATAAAAAAATTAGAAGTATCATATACTCAAGTTAAAAACTTTAATGTTCATAATGGTCCTACTTGATTTGAACACAATTACTTATAATAAAAGATACATGTGATCTAGACAAAAAATATGAGTATTACTATGATAGTTACTTAACTTTCTTATATAAACACATAAGTAGTTAACCAAATTACATGATAGTAAGGACTAAAAATAACAATTCCAAATTTTATACAAGTGAAAAACAATTTTTTTTCTACAAACCAAACATGAAACTTACCCATTTTACTTAGACTAAAAATATACTTAAATTAATAAAAATAATTGAATGTATCACATAAAAATTATTCAAACCACATATAAATGGTAATTCAAGATTATTAAACAGTGTATAGTTCACGACTATAATTATCTTTAGACCAATAAGTTTTATTTTATTAAAAAAATACTCAACTTCTTCATGAACTCATATTTAAAAATAGAGAAAATAAGTACAAATTACTATATATGAGTGTTTGAAAAATAAGTTTGTAATGACTTGCAAGACAAAGTGATAAGTGTCATATTTACTTTAATTTTGTGGTATAGATTAAAACTTATCTTAATTTTCTTTGATTTAAGTATCTGATTTAATCCAATTTTATGTTAATTAGTAGAAAGTTAATTTTTGTTTATAACTTAAGCTTTTAGAAAATTTTCAAACTTTTCGATATTAATTTGTAGATGAGAATCGAGATTATATAAAACATTGAAATAATTAAGTGGGAAGTTTGGTGAAACATCAAGAGAAGAAAAAAGGAATTTTGGCTTAGTTTTGGTGCTAAGAATAGAATCACACGCTTGACACCAACCTTCTAGAGAATTTTAGTTATCTAATTCGTTTTGTCTCTTTAAGCATGAGATTGCATGCTTAGTGTCACAATATCAAAAGTAATTTTTGTTCCTCCTTGTCTCACACTTTAGCATGAGAATTTCTTACTTACTGTTAGAATAATGATTCGTCGTTAATGAGAAGAAACAAAATGACTTATGACCTAAAATTAAAGGATTCAAAAATACATTAATTGAAACATTTTTTGGAAGTGTGTGGCAATTAGAAGAGCTTTCACTCATTGCTTAATGATCTAATAAGTTTCCTTATTTTTTTTTTAATTCTTTTGTGCTATATGTCTATGTGTAGCTAAATTCACTTTTGTTGGAATTTCATGTAATCATACATATTTTCATGTTCGCATTCTAAGTCGTTAATTCTAGTCATTATTCAATATTATTGTTCTCTATAGTGCTTAATGTTTGTTACGATTTGATCTTTCTTAACTTGATTTTGTGGGTTTAAAGTGATTAAAAAATACTTATAAACATTTGAATTGAAATAGAGTAGCTAATGATGTTTATTAGCTCTAGGAATGAAGTAAATGTTATTAGTCATTCATAATTTTTTGTTCTTAAAGTAATGTTTTTGGTTAAGTTATACAAGAAAGTGATAACTTAGTTAAGAAATTTAGACTTTAATTCATAAGGAACTAAAGTTTGAATTATTTGTAGGTTGAATGATAATTTCTAAACTTATAGCCAGATTAAAATTGTTTGGAAGTATAAGATAAAAGTTTGGTGAAGTTAAATCTCAACATATTTTATTATTGTATTAAAAATAAATTTTTGCATTTCAATTATTCATAAACATGCAAAAAAAAAAAAGATTTTTTTTATCACATTTATTTATTTATTTCTATGATTAATTAAAAAATTCTCAATAATTTAGTTTAATTAGATTATTATAATTACTTATTTATTTTAAGTATTGTGTCAACTCCTTGAAAAATATACTCATATTTATTATTAAATTACTTATACAAGTTGATAACTAAAAAGATAACATAGTCTTGACTAAAGCACTTGGTGAGGAGGGATAGCGTCGGTGACTAGAGCTTGTCATAGACATAGAATGTAAAAAGTTAATTAAGCCGATTTCTTATTTCATATGATGTTGTGCCCACTTGACCGAAAATGTAAAATCAGTCATGAATATTATCAAGATAATATCAACGAACTTAATCATGTAAATCATTAATAATATTGACATAACACATCGGTCAAGAAATTTAGTAAAAAAAGATAATTTTAATTATATAACAATCATGACATGATCATCGTAATAATTATTTTATTAAAGAAGAATGTGCGTATAATATAATACCAGAAAATATTACTGGAGCATTAAACTAATTTGATAGTTGGAGCCTTTTGGATAAATATTTCCCCCAAGCCAAAGTTAAGAGAGGAAATCACATCTTTTAATGTGGAATTACAAGAAGGAAGAGGAACTCTAACGAACTATCTCAATAACTAAGCTATTTCCAATAAGAAGAGGTGAGAAATGCAAATTAAAAATAGGTAGCAAAGTGAATTAAATCCGGAAAAAAAGCCGTTTCACCGAAAAATTTAAAAAATAAAAATCTAGCAAAGAGCCAAATTTCAACAAAAAGTCGAATTACATTGGCATCAAACATGATTTGGTTGTAGTAAACACACGTGGGAAAATATCGGTGGTTGGTTCCAATTCCAAAGAGTAAATGGAGTCAACTCGCCTTGCTTCCACCATCATCCTTCATTTGGTTGCCTCCTATAAGAATGATAAATCAATAGCCATCGTTTTCTATCCTTATTCACATCCACTTCAACACCAAGACAATCAATGGCTTCACGCGAGAGGACTAAAGCCACAACAACCATCATCACTCTACTCTTCTCTATCTCTCTTTCTCTTATCTTCTCCTTAGCTTCATCGTCAGAACCAGCACCAGTTGGTTATGGCTACACCATCTCAACTGTTAACAGTTATCCCATAAAGAACTCTTTAACTGCAAACCTTAATCTCATCAAACCCTCCTCTGTTTTCGGACCCGACATTCCGCATCTCTCCCTCGCTGCCAGGTAACATAACATAACAACCAATTAGTTAACGTTCTTCACTCTTGTCTTCTCCATTCATCCCATTGACTTGTCTTATTATATAATTCTGCCACATCATCTAGTTGCTGTGAATTGCAGTTTTGAGAACAAGGATAGGTTGAGAGTAAGAATCACTGACTCCAACCACCAAAGATGGGAAATTCCACAACAAGTCATTCCAAGAGACTCTTCTTCCCAATATTACCCTCTTCGCTCCCTCAATAGCCAACAAGGTTCCCAACACTCTCTCACTCTCACACATCCAGACTCAGACCTTATCTTCACTCTCCACAACACCACCCCATTTGGTTTCACGGTCTTACGCAAATCCTCCAACGATGTCCTCTTCAACGCAGCACCTGACCCTTCCAACCCCCAAACTTTTCTTGTTTTCAAAGATCAGTATTTGCAACTCTCTTCCTCTCTTCCACCACAAAGGGCATCTCTATATGGTCTCGGGGAGCACACAAAGAGGTCCTTCAAGCTGCAACCGAATGAGACCCTCACGCTGTGGAATGCAGACATAGCAAGTGCCAACGTGGATGTGAACCTTTATGGCTCTCACCCTTTTTACTTGGACGTGAGATCACCCTCCGATGATGGAAGAGTGAAGGCTGGCACCACACATGGGGTGTTGTTACTTAACAGCAATGGAATGGACATTGTCTATGCCGGTGATCGCATTACTTATAAGGTCATTGGTGGGGTCTTTGATTTGTATTTCTTCGCTGGATCCTCTCCTCAACTGGTGTTGGAGCAGTACACTGAATTCATTGGCAAGCCTGCTCCCATGCCTTATTGGTCCTTTGGTAAGTTGCATAGAATCTGTTTGGATGCAAGTTTAGAATAATTTTTGATAGCTTCTTTACTTGAAAGCTCTGAATTTTCAATAAAGAAACTCTCAAAAGTTCTTGTAAGATTGAATCCGGACAGAAACACAACATGGTACTTTGAGTTAAGTTTTACATTGCGATTGTGGTTGTACTTTTGTAGAGATCCTTGATATTGTAATTGTATGGAATTGTTGATAAATGTGATTGATCCGTGGTAAAGACTCTAACATCCTTGATGTTGCAACTAAAATTGCAGTATGGGTGGATTTTTAAAACTTTGCTTTTTGAGTCTTTGATTACATTTTTTTTCTCACTATGGTTGAAGTAAAAGAAAACAAAAGAATATAGAAGTGACAAAGCTTTGAAACTTGAAAGGACGTGTAAGTTTTTCTACAGTTCTATATTGTGTTACTGTTACATATAAAATCATTTCAATATTACTTTTAACATTACAGTTTTCGGGGTAACTGGTACTATGCCGTTGGTATAGTTGTTTACTTGTTGCTACATGAGTTTTTGGGTGAATATTGGTTCTCGTATTGTGGATACATATACCTACTGCAGATTCTTAAAGGCAGAGGAACAAGTTAAAAAAATGCTATGGCATTAAACAAAGGAAGTTGTTTATTGTTTTCTAAAATAGCAAGATTCCTTTTAGTATCAAAAATATAAATAGCAGGGGATAAAACTAAATGACCTTCTTTTCTTTTCGTTCTAGAAACTTTTAAGCATTGATAAGTGATCACATTTTTTGTTTTGAATTTTGATAGTGACGAACTTGCTACTCTGTTTCTTCCAACTCCAAGGACAAATGCATGGTTCATTGCCTCATTGAATTAAAGTTGTGTTAGTGTATCGTGTGTACTTAATGAATTTTCCTATGGTCTAGGTCACACACATCAAAATCTAACATACGGTTTGTTTTTTTTTTTTTCTTCTTCTTCTGTTCATGCTAATCCCGTAATCCGTTATATCTACTTCCCATGTTAATCCACATTATTATTATTATTATTATCTCTTGTGAAGGTTTTCATCAGTGTCGCTATGGCTACAAGAATGTAAGTGATCTCCAGGGTGTGGTTGCCAACTATGCAAAAGCAGGTATACCCCTTGAAGTTATGTGGACGGATATTGATTACATGGATGCATATAAAGATTTCACATTTGATCCCATCAACTTTCCACTGGATAAGATGAGAAGTTTTGTTAGTACTCTTCACCAAAATGGTCAGAAATATGTGCTTATCTTGGATCCAGGTATCAAACAAATCATATTCTGCTCTTAATGTTAGAGGAAACATCTGCGAATCCTTTATTAATTTGAGACAAATTTTGGAAACAGGTATCAGTGTAAATGAGACATATGCAACCTATGTTAGAGGTTTGAAGGCTGATGTCTACATAAAGAGAAATGGAGTTAATTATCTTGGTAAAGTTTGGCCGGGACCAGTTTATTACCCTGATTTTTTAAATCCTCGCAGCCAAGCTTTTTGGGGCGGGGAAATCAAATTATTTAGGGATCTTCTCCCTTTTGATGGTCTTTGGATTGACATGAATGAGTTATCTAATTTCATCACTTCTCCTCCCATTCCATCTTCTAGTCTTGATAACCCTCCCTATAAAATTAACAATAATGGAGTTCTACAATCCATTAATGACAGAACAGTCCCGGCAACATCTTTACACTTTGGTAATATCACCGAGTATAATGCCCACAATTTGTATGGACTACTAGAATCCAAAGCAACTAACAAGGCATTGGTGGATGTAACTGGTAAAAGGCCATTTGTCCTAAGTAGATCTACTTTTGTAAGTTCTGGTAAGTATACTGCACACTGGACCGGAGATAATGCTGCTACATGGAATGATTTGGCATACTCAATTCCATCGATATTAAATTCTGGGATCTTTGGAATTCCAATGGTTGGAGCAGATATATGTGGTTTTGGAGGAAATACAACTGAAGAACTTTGCCGGCGTTGGATCCAGGTAAAACTGATCCTCAATGCAGTAGCATGTTTTTTGGTGTTGCCATGAGTGTCAACTCACCGAGACTAATCTCGCTCGTAGTAATAGGGTTGTCGTTGACCAGCAATATTTTTACCTGTGGGAAATGTTATTAGATGATAAATGCTTATCTTACCTAAATATACAAAAGTCACAACTGAAAAGTACTAGTATGATTTTTGTTTTGTTGAAAATAACTACAAAAATACCGTAGCATACACATCTAACTCCTTTTATTTTCCTCAATGTAGTTGGGGGCTTTTTATCCTTTTGCAAGAGATCATTCAGAAATAAACTCCATCAGGCAAGAGCTTTACATTTGGGATTCAGTTGCAGCATCAGCTAGGAAAGTGCTTGGGCTTCGTTACCGTCTTCTCCCTTACTTATACACACTAATGTATGAAGCACATACAAAAGGGACACCCATTGCACGACCCCTTTTCTTTTCTTTCCCTGAGGATGTCGCAACATATGAAATAAACTCACAGTTTCTATTAGGTAAAGGGGTTCTGGTGTCACCTGTGCTACAATCTGGGGCAACCACTGTTGATGCATACTTTCCCAAAGGAACCTGGTTTGACCTCTTCAATGTCTCAAATTCAGTGAATGCAGAATCAGGCAAGCATGTCATTCTTGATGCTCCATCTGATCACATAAATGTGCATGTTGGGGAGGGTAATATTTTGGCCTTGCAAGGTGAAGCAATGACAACTGAAGCTGCTAGGAACACTTCATTTGAACTTGTGGTGGTAATCAGTAGCAGCAGAAATAGTTATGGACAAGTGTATTTGGATGATGGGGTGGCACTTGACATATCAGGGGTGAACGATCAGTGGACATTGGTAAACTTTTATGGCGCATTACACAACAAAAGTGTTTTTGTTACATCTAAGGTTACTAATGGAAGATTTGCTCTGGACCAAAGGTGGATCATAGACAAGGTAACTTTCTTGGGTATACCTACGCATAGGAGTTTTAATAGAATGGATTTGGCAGGGAATGAGTTGAATATTGTGAATGGAACAAGTTCAACGAGGAATGCAGTTGTGAAGTCACAATTTGATAGCTCCTCTAAGTTTGTTAATGTACAAGTCTCAAAATTGTCGCTTCTTATCGGAGAGGAATTCAAGCTGGATATTGAAATCAGGTAGACCTGTAGAAGGGTACTTTAGGACAGCAAATCCACACTAAGAATTTGTGCTTTCTTCATGGTTGCATCGTTGAGGCCCTTCATTTTACCACTGCTAAGGTTGCTATTCAGGATGTCATTTTATCAAACCACACCAACATTCATAAAATGTTATCTTTTGTATCAAATAAATGTTACAGAATAGTCTCAACATGGCTATGAAGCTCAAACATGAGAATCTGCCTATCAATAATTGGGGCGACTATTACCTAGTACTGGTGGTTGCTTATAATTTATGCCATCAAATTAGCAGTTACCTTTATTTGAGCTTCCTTGCGTCCTACTCTTAAAACTCTTCACACTCTATTCTTATTTGGCACTGGCAGTGCAATATCCACCAAACCTTATGGGTTCATTACATACCCACCAAAGCATCCTCGGATGACTGTATCTTTTTTTCTAGTAAAAATGATAATACCTCACTCCAAGAATAGAAGTTGAGAGTGTAAGTGAGCCAACCAGCATTTCTAATAAAATTTGATAGTTCATAAATGATTTGACATGTAATATGTATAGAGTAGAACATTAAGACATACGAAACTACTGTTTTTGGCACATTAAGGTGTTAAATTCATTTGTATTGCAACTTATATGAGATCTGCCAACTTATCCCAGAAACTACAAATTGCTTCTGACACCAAATCTCAGGTCCTATCCGAATAGGTTAATTAGTCTTTCGACTTCACATGATTCTCGCTTTAATTTTAAATTGTAATGTGGGATTTATACCCTACACTCAGATTTCACTCGCAACTCATAACTCACGTTCCACTTACAACTTCACTTGCAAATCACAGTTCACTTGAATTCCCGTTTACTAACCAGTGCATGAATCAGAGTATGGGTGCTAAGTAAATACGGTGAGACCTAAACTTTTTTACTCGACACATATATGATATATATTATGTATGTTTGAATACCAATTTAAAATCACATTTAATGGAAAAATATGCATTCCAAAGAAAAAAATTAAAAGTTTATAGCTTTTTTTCTGACCTCAATTAAGTTGAACTCAACGGGTTCCCAAATACATACAATATCTTTCATAGACAATACTATTGAAGACAGTTGATACACTAAATATGACTCTAAAATATATCAGATGAAAAAATAATCTGGCTTGTATTGGATTCAGAATTGATAGATAATATATATAGAAGAATACAAATGTGAAATTGGTAATTATACTCCTATAAATCAAGATTTTATTCCTGTGTCCAAGTTATTCTAATGGTAACAATTACCATATTTACATCAGGAATCATGGGGTAATTATTATTTTTCTAATACTCCCCCTCCCCCTCAAGTTAGGGAGTGAATATCAAGAACTTCCAACTTGCGTTCCATTGTAGAAAAGAGTTCCTTTCCTAATGGTTTGGTGAACACGTTAGCAATTTGCTTAGTTGAAGGAACATATTCAGTTGTGATTGAACCATCCTGAATCTTGTCGCAAATGAAGTGACAATCTCTTTCTATGTGGCAAGTTCTTTCATGAAATACTGGGTTGGCTGCAATATAAAGTGCTGCTTTGTTATCACAATACAATAATGCTGGTTTTGAGTGCAATATATGCAGATCCTTTAACAGTGATCGTAGCCAAGCAAGCTCACAACATGCACCAGTCATGGCTCTATATTCAGATCCCATTGAAGATTGTGAAACAGTTTTCTATCTTTTTGATCGCCAAGAAATTAGAGAAGATCCCAAAAACATACAATAACCTGTGGTTGATCTTCTGGATATTGTTAAACCTCCTCAATCCAAATAACAAAAAACACGCAAAGATAAATCATTTCGGGAAGGGAAAAAACACCTTGACCCGGTTGTTCTTTAGAAACAAGAATCATTCCAGTATGGTCAGAATGATGAAGAGAATATTTGTTTGTTGAATCTGCCATGATAGTGTAATAAAAATGGAAGAAAAAAAAAGACACAGAGAAGAGAGCAGATTTTGATACCATGTAAGATAAATCAGAAGATGAAAAATAATCTGGCTTGTATTTGATTCAGAATTGATATACAAATGTGAAATTGATAATTATACTCCTATTACTCAGGGAATTTATTCCTATATTCAAGTTATTCTAATGGTAACAGTTACCATATTTACATAAACAATATGGAGTAATTATTACTTTTCTAACAATTATACCATATTTGCTCTTCTCACAATCGAAATTCAAATCTTGATTCACTGGTCCTTTTTGTCTGACTCAACTACTATCAGTAAGAAAAAATATGTGATAAGGTAAATGATGTAATAAAGAAACATAAAAACAATGTTATAAAATTTATTATCTCAATAATGTAAATCTAAGCACAAAGAGTTTATTTATAATTTGTTTGGACTTATTTTATGAAATAATTACTTGCATTTGTGTGTGAGAAAATTTATAAAAATAACTTTTGATATGTTATTGAGGGTAATTTATGAAAGTAACTTTTATGAAAATAGTTTAGTCGAATCCTCTTTTCAATTATGTAAATAATTTATACGTAAATACTTACATGATGAGCATTTATTTAGTAAATGCTTAATTAAATTGCTTACCCAAACTTTGAAATGTTTAGTGGATAAATATCGAGATATACATAAAATTCAATCAAGGATAAAAAAGATTTTTATTTACCCACTTGAAAAAGAATTTTTGTTTTAGAATTTTTAATCCATTAAATAAATAATCATTGATAATAAAAAATCAATATCCCAGAATAAAAGTAACAAAAAAAATGATGATAATTAATATTAACATATTAATAGATCTTACTGTTGTTATTTTTTGGACCAAATATAAATATTTATGAAAAAAGTGCACTTCATTTAGAATTAGTGTTTTATATTTTATTTTGATATATTTTCATCAATAATTTTTATAAACATCACCTAACAAAACCCTTGAATAGAGAGGGGTTTAAGAGCAGCAAGTGCATTAGTGTGGTGTAGTTGAACTTGAACCAACCATGTTTTCTGGCACTCGCACTCGCACCCTTCCTCTCATTCCTCTCGCTTCCAAAGGTTCTCTTTCTTTTCCCTCTCTCTCTCTCTCTCTCTCTCTCTCTCTCTCTCTCTCTCTCTCTCTCTCTCTCTTCACTCACCTAACGTCGTTTCTCTTTGGCGATTCCGAATCAAGTGTGTGCTGCTCCACATGAAGCCCTCTACTCCACCCACATTGTCGGCGATAAATCGGTTCTGGTAGGTAATCCATTCTCTTCTCATATCTTCAAAATTCCACGGCGATGCTTGTGCCGCAGCAAGTGTTGTTCCTTCATTTGTTGAGCAGGTTCGGGATTTTATTCATTCTGCACTCTACCATCCATTACATGGCTACTTCTCTCAAAGATCGGGATCCGTTGGAGTTCTTCCTAATGCTATTAAATTCAATCAGCTTCAAGGTGCCGCACTATGCATTCGTTTATATATTATTATCTCAGTTAATTGATTTTCGAGAATTAATACTGTAGTAATAGGATCAAAATTGACACGGCTAAAGTGCGTTCTCCACCTCCTTCAGGTTATTAATTGGAAATCATAGTCTAGCCTTCCCTCAATGGGTAAATTTCTTTAGAAGTACGTCGGAGAAAAAGAAAAAAAACAAAAAGAAGAAAAAGTGAATTACACTTCTCTTATAGGTTAGAATCAACTTATATACTTCAACTTTTATAGGGACCCTCTCATTTAATTTTTCCAAAAGCTAAGAAGTGTGCTTGGCAAGGCATTTGAGTTCTCCTTTGACTAGCTTATTAGATAATTTGACCAAAATAAGCTTGTTTAATACAAGAGCTTATTTTAGGAGTTTATTGCTTATTTTCATAATCTAATTGAAGTAGCTTATAGTTGTTAAGCTCTTAGTTTAATTTTTTCTCTTTTCCTTTTTATTCTTATTAATTTACTTGAAATCTTTTATTTATTTATTTTTTATCTTTTTCAATTTAGAAATCCTTTTGTATACCCTTTCATTCTCTCACTCTCATTATCAAATAAATAAACATGTCTTTATGCCATTTTATATTAATTAACTAGCTTATCAACTAATCTTACCAAACACTCTCAATTCAATTGGTTTGTTTATAAACTTCTAACTTTTCAGTTCCTAATTGTATAAGTTTTCCGTTAGCTTGTAGGCTTTCTGTTGGGATACAAACAAGTCCCACATTGTTTGTATCCCAACACTTTCAGCTAATTTATAAGCTAGTTTTACCAAACGAGGTATGTAAGTTGGTTTTGATTTATGGAAAAAGCTTGATTTTCATTTTGTTTTTTATTTTCTCCTTTTATTAGTGATTATGTAGGAGTTTATCAAAATACAGCTTTACATGAGTATTATCAATTTCATGTTTCTAACTACTGGTAACTTGAACTACCATAACAGGCAGACATTTTAGTTTCAATCTTTAGCAACCTTGGCTGTTGAGCTGTTAATTGTTGACAATTATCTAATAGCGTGCCAAAAATTTAAAAGTTTAAGCCTCACCACCAACGTTGAAACCTTAACCAAATTGGTCCAAGGTTCTATAATGTGCCTTGGATTCTGGTGGAGGAAAGTTGGAAGTTGATAAAAGTTGGGATTTCCATGACTTAAGGAAGGACAATGAGGTTGTTTCAAGAAGGAAAGGAGTAGGTAGTAGATGTGACTATGGAAATAATAGCTAGAAGGTTTTATTGGTTTGGATTACAACTTTACAAGATGCCGTGTTTTAGCTTTTTGATTTTGTTCTGGCAGAGCTGTTGCTATTGCTGCTACTGTAGCCTTCAAATAATGACATCCCTTGTTTTCTTGTCATTTATAGAAGAAAATGGAGTTAATGTTGTTTTTCTAGGCCTGAAGGAGGGTGAGTGTACTTCAACCAATTGAGAATGACCTTTTGATAGTTTTGACTTTTGACTGTCAGTTATAAATCTTTATTTAGGGGAATTGGCTTTTCAATACACTGCTTTCATGTGATTCTGTTTCAGACTGTTTGTCAATTCTCTGCATTAAAGGAAAAGCATAGAACTTTTTAAAATCCCCAGACTATTATCAATTCAGTTCAAACACTTGCTGTCAATTTAAGAAGTGGAATGACTTGATTGAACATTGGTTATAACCTTAAATTTCAGTGGTTTATATAATGTAGTAGAGTGGTGACATATTTCAGGCCGGAAAGCTTATATGAAATACTTGGATACTATTTACAAGCAGAGTGACATATCATGGTTTACACCAGTGGAACTTTTTAAGGTACACCCTCTAAAGGATAAAGATTTTCTAGTCCTTAATATGTAGAATATTGTGAATCAAAATTTGATTTTTATGGTTTTCAGTTTGGTATGGAGAAAATTGTTGTTGTGTTGTGTTTTTTTTTTTTTAATCATTTATTTAATCAAGAATTTTTAGTTTCCTTGAATGTTCAATCTTTAAGAGCTACTATTGTGGTCAAGCTCAACCTTCTTGTCAAGAAGGGGGCTGCAACAATAGGAATTGGTTTAAAGGATCAATTGGTGTCTGTTTCAGGGCTGTTGAGCATTACCTGCAAATTTGGAGTGTTAAGATGCATCTAGGGAAAGTTTAGGCAAGAATTGACTAGGGTATCAAGAGAATGAATTTTTATTGTGTCTAGCAAGATAATGAGATACCTGTATCTTATAACATTAAAGAAAACCAAGTTAAAATCTAGAAAGAGAAGAAAAATTAAGCTAGGCATCACACAAACCAGAAGGACCAAGACTGAATTACACTCGCAAAAACTACAAAACCCACAAGGAAAATTTTGACATTGAAACTAATTACAAAATTCTCTCAAGTCTCAATAACCCTGTGTATCGCTTGTCCAATTCACTGTACCATGTGCCTTGTACTGGGTTCTCTTTAAAGGTGGTCTTATAATAATAATTTAAGAAAGTTACCAGTTACATACCTACATGAACTCTGTATCTGTACACAGTACACGTATTACATACGTAGTAACTGGTTGAAAAAAGACCCTGTGGCATCCAAATAACAGAAACACAAGTGTGAATACATGATCCATAAGCAAGGAGAGAAAAATTACTATTCCCATGAAATTGACATAAAAATAATTTGATTAACAACTTCTGAATCTTAATAAGACTAAATAATATTTTTTGGAATAATACAGCAATCACCATTATCATAAATAAGACAGGAACATGATTCATCTACAGCTTGATCTTTAAGGCTTTCTTGATGCTAGTTTGTCATGCATTTGGGGGTACTTTTATCGTATTATATAGTTATATTAGAGTCTATTAGACCAAATGATTTAGAGTTTACCTACTTTTAAATTTTCCTTAATACAATTCCTAACAATCACGTATTACTCATGTAGCATGCTTAAAGACAGGTAGACCAATGTTTTATGTTTTTTTTTTTTTTTTCAATAAATGAATAATTAGGACATCAATGATTGAATTTTGCACCACATGGAGAACAGAAGGGAATTTCAATTTCAAATTTTCAATACAATGAAGAAACTTTGTTAAACCTTAAATGCTCTAACAGACTAACACTGTAGTATTCTCATTGGTATTCTTCTTGGGTCACTTATGAGTGTTACTTGCCCTACTTTTTAGAATTAAATTTATTGGGGAATGGTGAACAGGTGAAGTAGTTCTTGAAAGACTTTTGGTTGGGAGGGTTAGGTGACTGGAAAACACATTAGACCAAGAATTACTGGTGCCTCTTATTTGATAGTATAATGCATAACTATGGCATTTCATTAATTCATTCTATTAATTGAAAACTACAATCTGCAAAATTTTCATGGATTGCAACAGAAATCTTAAATATCCTCCTTTTCTTTCAATTTAAAGAATCTGTTGGACAGTATATTTTGGGATATTCTAGTCTACCCTTTTATAGGGTGGATTTTATCATTGGAATCTAAATGCAAAGGCACATATTGGACATGAGAACTTTGGTGTGCAATTTTTCAGAATTTGTACATGTATTTTTCTTGGGAATATCAAAATATAATAAAACTAGTTTCTGGTGATTGAAACAGATGTGGAATCTAAAAAATATTTTTTTTAATAAATTTTTTCAATCATGTATGCCAATGCAGTGTTTTAACTCTCTTATGTTTATTTATTTATTTACTTTTGTAGCCTTGGTATGCTCATGCTATTGCTGAAGCCATCATGCGCACTGCAAACTTCTCTGTTCCTCTAAAAGTAAGTGTATTGCAGTCTTTTTTGCGTATGAGCTTTGTTTCTTGCCTAGGCTCCTCTGGCCTTTTTCCTCAAACTAGATTTCTCTCTTCATCCAGCAGCTGGGCTGTGAAAGCCCAGCATTATGCTGCTATTCTGCACTGAACCACTTATTAGATAATATTTCAGTTCTACTTCTATATAAGTATGTTTCATGCCTTTTTATTATCTCTTTAGGCCTCATCCTCTTTTTGATAATAATCTGGTTGGCATCATAAATTTATAAACACTGGCTGTTACTTTTTATTACTTCAGTCAGTAGTTTGATACTATCCTCTAATTTGCAATCAGATATATGAAATTGGTGGTGGATCTGGAACTTGTGCCAAGGGTATAATGGATTACATAATGTTGAATGCTCCTGCAAAAGTTTATAACAGTATGACTTACACGTACGTGCAGCCAATATAATTTATATTTTATTATAATTTATAAAGCCAAATTATAATGTTAGACACAGTTTTTAATTATTTTGTTATGATAGTGGGCTGTGCTTATATTTTCTGTGCCTCAATTTTCCATGTAATTCATTTTTCTGTCTTACATAATTCTCTCATTAGTAACTAACTTGTATTTAGGGCCATTCTTTAATTTTTGGACTTTTACTTTCTTTGGAAATTAGCTAGCTGTATCCCTTTTGATTTTACTTGATTCTATTATATTCCCAGGTGATTCAGACAGGAGGGTTTGGACCAATTCTGCTGGTAGTTTTCCTGTAATTATTCTCTCAATTTCTGATGCACTCTCCTAACCTTAACAGTGTGTTTGGTTCAAAGGAGGGAAGCCCTGGGGGGAAATAGAGGGGAGGGAAGGGAGAGAGGGGTCCCTTTGTTTTGTTTGATTTAAGAGAAGTGGAAGGGAAGAGAGGGAAATGTCACCTTGTTTGGTTTGCAGGAGATGGAAGAGAGAATATGGGTAATATACTGTTATACCCTTATTAATAGTAATAGCCGAGATAAGAGATAAAATAAAATATATAGGTAATTTAGTCCATATGGTCTAAAAATTACAAATTACTTTGCCTAGCAGAAGCAAAAATGGGAGGGGGCGGGATTTTAGTTTAGCCCTCTCATTTTCCCTCCCCTCCCCTTCAAAATTTTGAATCAAACAAGGTAAAATTAAAAAAATCTCTCCCTTCCCCTCTACTTCCCTTGAACCAAACACACTATATAGGCTCCTTATCAAATTTAAACAAAACCTTTTGGAAGTTCAAAGTTCCTTCTGCAGTCAAATCTTATGTTTGAGCATCCGTACTTAAGTATATAAATTATAAATGACACTGTAAATTTATAGATCTCATGCTGCTTTTTCTCCTGATAAATGTGTTGTGTACATTTGATTGTAAATTTGGTGTTTTATCTTATTAATGTTTGAATTAGTTGTATATTAGTCTTATGAATCAATTGAATTGGAGTAGATTCATTACTTTAGTAAATTTGTGTTGTGTACCTATCTTTCATTGAAATCATATGATTCACATCTGTAGTGTCGTGTTTCTAATTACAGCTCAGTTGAGATTAGTCCTTCACTTGCTGAGGTGCAAAGGGAAACTGTTGGTGAAGTGCGCAGCCATATACCGAAGTTCAGGGTGGAATGTCGTGATGCTGCTGACCGGAGTGGATGGGGTAGACTGCTATTATAATTCTGCAGAATTACATAAATTATGTTGAGGCTTCTAAAAGTTATTAAGAATAAAGATTAAGCTACCCTACAGTGGGGCCTTTCATAAATTATTAACATAGGTTGTAAGAAAATGCTACAAACAAGGGGTTAGTGGAAGGCAATGAATTTGCACCTATCACGTGCAATCTCTTCTAGCTATCAGCCCATCAAAGTTTCCTTCTAGACAAAACTATTTGGAAATTGAAAGACCCGAGTCTATTCTTCAGTTGACAGCTGTACTTAATTAATTAGTCTTCATGTATTTGAGGTCATAGTGAAATTAGTGTCTGGATGTATACAAATAAGCGATAAATCAAATATAATCCGATGCAATTTTTTTTTCTCTTTATAATTTTGGGAGATATTCACATGGCATTTATTTAATTTGACTTACCATTGCATCATTTTGTTTTTCTTATCTTTTTTTCTTAGTTAGTTAATGTATATACTATTATGCTATTTATGTCTCATATTATTATTGCTGAGGGTGAGCCTTGGTGCAATGGTTATGTTGCTGCATTGTGACTTGAAGGCCATGGGTTCAAATCTTGGAAATGACCTCTCTACTTGTAGGACACTCGTGCACTGGGCCTATTGTGCATCCCCTTTTATTAGTATTATTATTATTATCAGAAAATGACAACAGCAATAAAATAATAAATATCTCTTATTTTCCAGAGCCATACCATGAGTGCTACAAGGATATACCTATTTTTACCACATTTTGTTATATCTATCATCTCCATTCTTTACTTTATTCTCCTATTCCCCATCTCTCTGGTGTTCAGGGTCCTATTTTTTTTTTTTTTTTTTATCAATATTTTCTTTGTTAATGCTACAGGAATGCATAAAATGGAACCACTTTATGATTCCTCGTGTCTTTTCAAATGTTAATTTGTATACAAGGATATGGAATGATGTTTATTCTTGGGGTACATTGTTGTGAAGGAGGGGAGGAGATAGTGAACATTGATAAGTTGAATGGGTGATGGTGACTCTAGATGCTTGACAATCTTGATGTTTTTCTGTTCACAATGTGTATTACTATGCGATATTGATTATTATTATATATTAGTATTAGAGATAATTGTCATCCTTTGTACTGTACTTTTCTTTTTCTTCCTCTGTTTTGGGCTTTGGTTAGTGCCTTAGTGGTCTGGCCCAGCTTATCAGGTGGCCCATAGTCATCTTTCATCTATAAATAGATGGTTTCTATCAGTTATAACTAACTAACAGAATTAATAATACAGTTCATTTTCAGTTACATGAATCATTATCTCTCTCTTAATTATATCAGTTCTTAAAACCTAGAGCACTACTTATTTATACTCATCATACTCCTAATTAAATAAGAAACATGGTAACTAATCCAAAAAATAATGAGGAAATAGGGAAACTAATCTTGAAAGAAAATACAAGATATGATCAAGATGGTAGTGAATATTTTCACATATTCTAACGACACCAATTGGCTGTTCTAGGCTGATAGTATTATTATGGTTACATGGAGTTCTATTGTATACCTATTTTGCCAGTAGAAGTAAATTTTTCTTAAACTTCGGAGCTCCAATTTTGGAGATGTTTGGGGGCTTCTTTGGAGTGTATTTAAGATAAGTTTATGAAGTAATGCTAATACCATTGTTCCCTCCTTTTACAGGGCATGTGGAGCAACAACCATGTTGGGTAATAATGCTTGAGGTGTGTTTTATAATTGAGATGCTTTTATGTCCTCCAGTTCAAATATTTTTCCCAATAAAGAAAAAGGACGTCAACTTGTTTTTGATTTAATTTCTAAGGATACAGACTTCTGGGTTTTATTATCGTTCAATTCTTCACACTATTCCATTGCCAGTCTATATCAATATTATCACCAGTTGGCTTTACCATAGAAGAGGAAGAACTGCTTTATGATTGATGGCCGTAGGGAGGACTCAATCTGTCTAGGTAATTGTAAAAAAAGAATAGCTGGTAACAAGGAATCAAGGAATTGATGGAAGAGGGAAAAAAGGGACAGGAATAACATAACAGAACACTAGGGGAAAAAAATAAAAATCAACTAATTTATTACCAAAACATGCTCAGAAGTGAGTGACCTATGAACATAGAGAAAGAAGGGAGCAAAATGAACAAGGTCAAGTAAACAAACTACTGTGTTACAGATATACTGGGACTGCACCTTATTGGCTGAAGGAGAAGGAACTGCATATGAAACTGGTTGAGGACTTGTTGCTGAGCTGCATGAGAAATAGAGTTACAGAGTATAGAGCTACATGCAGGGCTGACTATTGATTAAAGTGTAAAAGGCCAAAACAAGGTTGAAGGATAGCAGTGTTACTGAGTATGCCTTAATATTTGTTTAAACCATAGTTGTTAATCTTGGATACCAGTGCTTAGTGGCCAATTCTGAAAACGATACAGTGGGATGCAGGATGGTTATGTTAAAATGTTATAATTATAATACAAACGGAATAATTTATACTACACAAAATTCCCAAAAATATTTTTTTAAAGAAATTCATGATAAATAATAACTCAATTTACACACAGTCGCCATCAATCTAGGAGCAGTAAAACCATAGTGAAGTAAAAAAAATGGACGGTGTTGGTGAAATTAATAGAAAAAGAACATAACAAATTAGATAAAAATTAATAGAATATGAACTGGGAAGTCTAAAGGTAGAAGAATAGAACATGGGAAAAAATGTTGTAAAGTGTGAAGGAACAGAGGTAAAAACAAAGCTAACATTTTGTGGAATGGTCAAGGAAGAAGGGTTTCAAATCCTATTATTTTTCTGAAGCAAATAATGCATTAAAAAATGGGGAGAAATTACATTTTGTACAGTTAAAAAGCTCTAAACAAAATTGTTTTTGGGGGTAAAAATATGTTTTTGATGCCTATATCATGGTAGTGTGTGTTGCTATAGTGCATAAAAGCCACTATTTTTGCTGCAGTGGCCGCTATTGAAAACCACTCCTCTATTTGAAACCTGTAGCAAGCCGCCCTGGGCTGCTTTGCTACTCTGCAATGGGGCACTACTGACTACTATGGTTTCAACAGAGCAAGCTGCTGAGATGCTTGACTTTCAATGTGATTTCAAATGCCTAAATTAGTTTGTAGATTTTGATGAACCTAAAAGCACCTGATTTGGTGCAGGCCATTTTATGATGCTGGGTTTTAGCAAGGTTAGGGAATTGGGCTGCCTGTAATCTAGTGGTTGTTGGCTGCTATTGCAGCACTCTGAGCTGCTATTAGTGAAATGGTCTGCCTTGAGCATTCAGCCATTCAGGTGTGGTCACATGTTGCTTCACTTCACTCATGTATGTATGATAATGGCCAATATTGGGAACCCTGCCAACTAGTATGTTCTCTAAAAGTTCAAGCAGGTACCATTTGACAGTTTTTGGCATTAAAACTCTTGTGCTGGTAGTTCTCCTTTCGAAGCTAAGATCTGGCATTTGGCCATCTGCCATTGTCAAATGCATCATAAAAAAAAATATTGAATCAATCATTCAATTGTGTGTGCTTTGGTAAGAACCTAGATATTAAATGTTGCTGACTAGAAATGATCTTCTGCCCCTTTGTTTGTCATTAATGTTGTATTATTATTATTTAGATATTTCACAACAATTATTATACTTCTTGTAGGTTCTTGATAATCTTCCACATGATCTCATCTATGCAGAGAATCAAATTTCCTCATGGATGGAAGTCTGGGTTGAGAGACAACATGACCGGTAAGTCTCAGCTATGTGTGTAGGTGCTAATCATACTGATGCACATACACCATTACACATTCTAGTGCTTCATTAGGTAGTAGCTACCACAAAATAAAAAGGAAGATATTTTTACTTTAAGTGATTATTAAGTCATAACATTATTCCATGGCCTTTATACAACATAATTGAGAATTACACCACCAACCAATTTCTACCTTTAATAGAGGAACAATTGGCGAGTTATACAAGCCATTGCAAGATTCACTAATTACACGTTGTGCTGAGATCATGGACTTGGATGAAATCAAAGCAACTCACAGCACTACTGTATCTACTCTGAAAAGCCTTTGGTCTAAGGTTAACCCAAAACCGCGTAGATGTTGGCTACCCACTGGTTGCTTGGTAAGAGTCTCTTAAATATGCCATAAGTCTGATATATAAATTGATTATTGCATTTGTCATCCCTTCACACTTTTTCAGAAATTACTTGAGGTTCTCCATGAGGTGTTACCAAAGATGTCTTTGATTGCTTCTGATTTCAGCTACCTGCCTGATGTGAAGATACCTGGTGAAAGAGCTCCCTTGGTTTCAACTAAAGTATATTCTTGTTAAACTTTTCTCGAACAATACTGCAGTTATCTGTTTTCTCATGTAAACTTTAGAGTGAAGTTCTTATGCAAGAGTCCTTAAATGGAGTCTTTTAATCCATTTGCTTTATGTATTAAGATAAGATCATTATATCTACTCTGTTACGTGTGAGATGATTGAGAAGCAATGTCCACTATAAGATCATTATTTCATTCTGTATAGCCGCTCATACAATGTCAAGTGTGTAAGAGCAGCTATATTTGTGTAACTTTTTTACATTAACTGCTCCGTAACGATCTAGTAATCAGAATGAGAGTACAAAAGACTCTATACTCCCAGAACCATTTTTTACCTCGCCAATCTAGGTACTGTACTTTGTTATGGCTAAGCTATTGCCATATTAACATACTAGCCCGTGGAGGAATATTCATTCAGAAAACAGATTATTTATGTTATATACATGTTGATAACCCAGCTCTGCTTATTCTATCTAATGAATTCTGTCAATGATTTGAAGGATGCGTATACTGAGATCCTTATTTATTATCATCTGTAGAAGTCACAATGTGTTTTATTCCTTTATAAAATAGAAGCTTTTAATCTGTATTGATAATCTTAATTAACAGCGTTTTCCTTGTAAATGGCAGAAAGATGGGAGCAGCTGGGATTATGATAATTATATGGAGGCAAAGGTTCAGTTTACGATTAGCTTCTTTCCTTTTCAATTTATTTTCCTTATTCTCACTCTTATTCACTTCATCTGGTGCCGTACATGATTAGAGGATACTCTATTTGTAGCTAGAGGCAATCTTGGTTAAATTTAATACTATGATTTATTTAGTAAATTATGCTGAAGCATTCATGATTTGGTAACTGTAATGACTATAAAAGCTGTTGAACATTGGCAATTTGAACTTACCAGAAGTTTTAAATTTAATAATTTTATTCAGTGATAATAATAAAAAAAGTACTCTTAACTTATCAGGCGGCTTCTTTTGTTTGTTTAATAATAGACTGTATGACCTAGAACCTTTCCTTTTTTGCACGTTAGAGTAATTTATTGGTATTAATACTTGCAGCCTTTTGTCAAGCAGATCCTGAAAATTAAGTTACAAGGAACGATCTAAAGTACAAACATATATTTCCTTAGAATAAACTTAAAAGGTTGTTGGATCCCTTGATAGTATAATAATAGCAAGGGCCTGATTCATCAGGAGGATAAATAGCGTGATAAAATTTAAATTGCAATCCAATAATATTTTTCTTTAGATTATTTAGATTCATTGTTTTCATAATTTTTCTCTCATGTTAGATGCACCGATGTTTTAACATTATCCTCATGATTGACCTGTCTCTTTATAATCACTAGTGCTTCAAAAGTTCAGAGTTATAATTGTTGAGCATCTTGGTTAATAATATCGTTATTAATTGTTTCCCGATCTTTTTGTTGCATTCACTTACAAGTTGCAACAAGAAACTATTTAAGCTAAATCATCATCTGTAGTTACTTCACAGGAGTACAAAACTGTTATGCACGCTGTCTTGTACAAGTGATGATCTTTTCATAGAACAATTTCTTCCTGAAATTCTGGAAATAAATGATTGTACTAAAGTTTGTGTTTATCTTTTGCAGGGTGATGCTGATATATTTTTTCCTACAGACTTCTGGCTCTTGGAACGAATTGATCATTATTGTTCTGGGTGGCTAAAACTTCATGGTGACCACTCATCGAAAAAAGGAAAGAAAAGGAGAACAATTACAGTAAGTTCTATCGTTTCTATTTATCTGTTGATTCAATACCAGATGTGCTTTGCTTCAAGTTCTCAGCAACTTAATGTTCTCTAGCTTAATGGTTTATATTTGATGTAGCTGGAGACATCATCTTTTATGGAGGAGTTTGGTTTGCCCACAAAAACGAGAACCAAGGATGGATACAACCCACTCTTGGATGACTTCAAGAATACCAAATTTTATCTTAGTGTCCCGACACACAATATTAAGTAGATAATCATACTTGATACAAGTACTTGCATTCACAAGAACGTGCCATAGGAGTTTATTGAGATTATATATGTTCCGCGTGTATACCATAACCCATTATTTCATGGTCTGAGCATAAGTGAGTTTCAAGAGTATAACGTGGTCATATATTGTTGATGGACAATTTTGCTTTGGACATGTGGTCCTCTTCTCTGAAGCCAGAAATTGCTTGATTTAATTGTAAGATAGACATTTTTACGTAGGTTTTAGAATAACACGACTTGTAAAGATCTTACATTTTGTTCTGTAGTATTTGATAATACTTTGTACTGTACACCGCAAGTTTTCTCTATCAAGTAATAATAAGCTTTTGTCGAGAGAAATTTGGCAATAAGAGTGAATGAATGGGATGCGGTAAGCAGATGGAGGAAGGGCCGGACTGAACGGTTTAATTAGTGATCTATTGTTTCGATTTTTGATCCATTGATTCATTGATTTAATGATTGGTTCGATTTAATGATCGGTTCGATTTTTAAAGGTTATCATTTACGGCCTTTGACAACAGACTTTTTGTTCCTCCTCTTTTCATTGTTCCCCATTGTCTAAGAATAGGGCTGAGAATGTCATCGTTAACCACCGTGAAACATCGTTGTTGACAAATTAGCCTTGATCTTCTCTATATCTACAATGTGCACAACAACAATGGTAGATGACTGATAAGTTCTACGATGGAGTGCAGGTGATGAAGTGTGACAGTAGAGTACGGAAGTTTGAATGTGCCTCTGTTCTCGCACCCCCTTCGCAAACTCCGCTTCTCCCTCTTCAACAAACTCCACTATATCTCTATCACACCATGCACAACAAAGTCCACACCCTACCTCACACAAGATCTGTGACTCGGACACCATTTGTGTTAGCAGAGGTGGGTTGATCTTCCCCACCTACGACGAGTTTGTGACGGTGCCTGGGACATGGTAGTGGTTTTGTGGCAGTTAACGGTGGTGATGGTGGTGTCGCTACAAAAGAGAACACTTTTTCTTTTTTTCTAGCCCAACAAAGTCATTCTAGTTGGGCTACTGTTGTGACGAGTATTAATGGTAGGAAGACTAATATAATAAGGGCTTAATTCTGTTTTATTCTTTTATAATTACTTAATTGACCAATTTTAATCTTTTAAATATTGTAATTTTGTCTCCTGATTAGTTAAATAATTTTAGTTAAATATTCATAATTATACGGTTTTAGATTCTCAAATATTGTAATAATATAACTTTTTTTTTAATCTATTTAAGTTACATATATTATATTTTTATTTATGTATTAAATAATATATATTTCTTATAATATAGGTAATTTAAATAGATAAAAAAATTGTATAATTGTGATACTTAAGAGACTAAAATTGTACAATCATGAATACTTGAAGGATTAAAATTACTTAATTAAAATTCGAGATCAAAATTATATAATTATATTACTTAAAAATTAAAATTATTTAATTAAAATATGAAGAATTAAAATCACATAATTGTTATACTGATGAAAAAAACGCATTTAAGTATATAATAAATTAAAAAGTAATGGAAGGGATACTTGGGCTATTGTTGGAATAGGACTAGTGGCGGGAAGACTTGTGTCAATTTATATGTTTGGACTGAAATTGATTTTATATAATTAATTTTGACTGAAATTGATTTCAAAATAAAATGATTTGTGTTTAAAAGTTTTTATCATGAAAGTAAGTTTGATGTAAAACTTGGTATAAATTTTTGTTTGGGTTTGGATGAGCATTTTAAATGAAATTGAGTTTGTAAAATTAAATTTGCTTAAGATTGATTTTAAACTTAAGTAATTTATATTTGGATATTTTTATCCTGAAAACAAGTTTGCTACAAAAATTAATTAGTGTAAATTTTCGATCTAATGCGAAACTAGTTTTTATGACTTCTAGTTAATTTTAAATTTTGAGGCAAAATCAATTTTACCTATTCTTAACCAAATGCCATATATATATATATATATATATATATAATATAGGAGGGTATATATATATATAATTGTCAAAACGGGCCAACCCGGCCCATGTGGGCTGGCCCACCTTGACCCACTTTAAAAATGAGCCAACCCCACTTTTAATTTTTTCAAAAAAATTTGGCCTGGCCCGGCCCACCACGGGTTGGTGGGTTATACGGGCCAGCTCACCAGCCCACCAAAAATTTTAAAAAAAAATTATCAACAAAATTCAAAATTTTAAATTAATTATAAATTAACATAATAGTCATAAAATTAGAATTATTAATAGTCATAAGTCATAACTCATTATACAAAATTAAATACAAATCATGATAAAACTTAAAAGTCTAAAAAATTTTAATATCCCATCATACAAAATTAACTACAAATCATACTTAAATTTTTATTGCAAAAAAAAAATGGTGGGTTTGTGGGCTACCCGGTCCACCATGGATTCAGCCCGGGTGGGCCGGGTCAAAGTGGGTCGTGTTGAGATATATTCACCTACTATATATTTTTTTTTTTACCAAAATTACATTTTATTGGAAGTAAAATCAATTTTGATTATGTCCAATGTGAACCAAACACTTAATAATTTACTTGCCAGTAGTTTTATAGCTTTACAAAAGATCAATAATAAACGTCAATTCTAAATAGTTGGATTAGGGTTGAAAGAAAAGCTAAAAGTAAAAGAAATAAAAGGCAGAAATTGATAGATATGATAAGAGATATGATGAAAAAGAAAGGGACAAATAGGATTGAAAATGAGTTGAGTTAAATTGAATACGGTTGAGTTCAAATTAACTTAATATATATAGTTCAATTCGAGTTTGACATAAACTTTTTTTTTTCCAGCTTAAACTTGATTCGATTCAAGCTTGTTAGCAATTCGATTTAACTCATTAGCTTGAATCACATGAACCAAGACTCAATTTTTTTTCTTCAAATTTTATACATTTCAAAATTTTAATTTAATAATATTTTAGATAAAATAATTGTTTGATTTTTTTAAAAGATAAAACATAACTTATTCTATTAGTTTTCCAAGATTACAAAGTACGAATTTAAAGAAATATTTTTTTAATAAAAGGTTAAGCGTACTAAGCATCACTATAGAACTAAGTTGGCACCCCAAAATAAAATAATATATATATATATATATATATATATATATAAAGAGGAAAATAGTAACAATAACATGGGGAGACTATACCAAAACCCATGTATGAATCAATAAAAATGAAAAGAAGGAAAACCACAATGAATGGGGAGACTATACCAAAACCCATGTATGAACCAATAAAAATGAAAAGAAGGTAAACCACAATGAACACGAGAAAAAAAAACCTTCCAAACAAAAGAAGGTAGAACAAACCACTACTTATAAAGAATCTTATGTTTTAAATCAAAATCAACTAATTTGTCTGTACATTGATTTCCCTCCCTATAAATATGAGAATGAAAATAATAGAAAACACAATTCATAACCATGAAATTCTTAAGTGTTCACTTCTTTTATTATTATTAACTTATACCTAAGTTTTGAAAGTTCTTTCAAATTTTAATAAGCTAAAATTAAATATAAAGTTAATTATATAAATTATATATTTATATGTCGAGTCAATTCATGAATCAAATGATTCGAACTATATGCAACTCAAGTTTGACTCATTTATTTATCGAGTTCAATCTTTAGTTCAAGTTCAACTCATTTAGTTCATGAATCAAGTTCAATGAGTTAATTATCAAATCGAGTTTTGAATTATTTTGAGTTGGTTCGATTTATTGTCACCCTTAGGAACAAATAGGAAGAAAATGGAGTGGAAGTGATGCATGTTCTTAAGCATCACCTGCGATAATTTGGTGGTCTAAGTTAACATTTTTAATGTTCCTAAGTATTTCCTTATGAACATACTAGTGGTGATGCTTAGAAGATTCTTAGGATTGTCAAGTTACACTAAAAGTCTGACAAAGGATTTTTGAATTTAACGTTGCCATTGAAAAAGTTAAGGGACAACCTTTTGATTGGGATTAAGCTTGTGAGTCCAATTTTCAAGAACTAAAAGAGATTGACTTATGTTTCTGTTGGAGAAAAAGGTACACACTAAAAAGGGAGGGTTGAATAGTGTATATCAAAAACTCACGTTTTTTGTAGTGAGGAAATAAAGAGTACAAATAGATGAAGTACGGGAGAATAATCAAGCAAAGTAATGAAGCAAACATATAGCACAAATATTTTTATACTGATCGGTCTCCAACTCAAAGACTATATCCACTTCTCAATCCAACCAAATTGAGTTCTACTATCTTATGCAAGATACAAGTATTCTTTACAAGCCACTTCTGGCTAAAACCCAAGTATTCTTTCAAATAAGTCTCTTTAAGTTTAACCACTAAGTATTCTTTGAAACAAGTATCTTTAGGCTTAACCCTTACAAATATAATTGATAAGAGTTACAAGTATAGCTTTATCTTTTTTAGATGTGATGCTATAAAAAAATACAACACAAAAAGACTAAAAAGATCTAGATACAAAATTTTCAAATGTGATCTTCTTTTGAAGTGCTTCAACTTGATATTTTGATGAATTTTTCAGAATGAACTGCTAAAGAAATATTGATCTCTTAGCCTTTTTTCTTCATGTATGTAAATAAAGTATATATCCTTTTCTCGCTCAACAATTATTATGCTTGTAGTTTGAAGGCTTGATCTTTATATAGTAGCTTTGGAGAAGATGACCTTTGCAACAACGTTCAAATTTCTTTACCAGATGCTTCGTCTGTCTTCCTAGCTGAACTTAGAGAGTATTGTTGATACATTTAATGAGAGCATTAAATGCTTATCAAGATGTGTGTACCTCGTATCTGATCCAGGCAACTACTTATCATCATTTTCTTTTACTTTTGAGTGCAGCAGAGAATGTCAACGTAGAGCAATTGGGACTGGTACAAAGCAATCCATTTTAGTCTCTTTTTCGTGATATCCGGGATTGTTCTTTTTCCTTCTCATGAAGATTTTGTCTTTTTTCTCATTAATGTTCTTCAAGACTTTCAAAGTTCCTTTTTATTTGATTTGTCGAGAAATAACACATTAAAGCAAGTGTTATGTCAGTCTTATTCATTTAGTGTAAGTCATACGATCTGTATGCTTCGTTTGATTTCTTTCATCTTACAAATGTTGTGTATTATCTTCACAATTTGTCTGATTTGTTATATTTTTGAAGAATGCCGAATTTTGCTTTAAAGAAAATCCTTTTGTTTGTCAATATTAAAACTTAAGGAATCGTTAGTTTTCTTCAAAATAAATTTTTTTATCGAACAATTT